TGGGGCCTGAACTCTGGGCCTGGGCACTGTCCCTCAGCTCTTCAGCTCAAGGCTAGCGCTCTACCACTTGAGCCACAGCGCCACTTCCAGCTTTTTTTTTTTTTTGCTTATGTGGTGCTTATGAGGAATCGAACCCAGGGCCTCATGCATGCAAGGCAAGCACTCTACCGCTGAGCCACCTTCCCAGCCAGACTGGGAGACTCTTATCTCCAATAAACCACTCAGAAAACCGGAAGTGGTACTGTGGCTCAAGTGGTAGAGTGCTAGCTTTGAGATGAAGAGCTTAGGGACAGTGCCCAGGCCCAGAGTTCAAGCCCCACGACCAACAACAACAACAACAACAAAAGCAATTAAATATTGTCAAGGCTTTGAGATAATAATGATTTTTGTTCTTGATTTTGTTTAGGTACTGTATTAAATTTATTGGTTTTTGTTGAACTGTCTTGCATCCAGGAATGAAATCAACTTAGTCATGGTGTGTGATTTTATCTTTTTTCTTATTTTGTTTTATGCTGGTCCTGGGGCTTGAACTCAGGGTTTGAGTGCTGTCCCTGGGCTATTTTGCCACAGTTCTACTTCCAGCTCTATGCTTGTTAAATGGAGATAAGAGTCTCAAGGACTTTCCTGCCTAGGCTGGCTTTGAACCAAGATCCTCAGGTCTCAGTCTCCTGAGTAGCTAGGATTCCAGGTGTGAGCCACTGGTGCACCGCTATCTCTCTTTTCTTTTCTTTTCTTTTCTTTTTTTGGGTCCGGTTGTGGGCCTGAACTCTGGGCCTGGGCGCTGTCCCTCAGCTCTTCAGCTCAAGGCGAGCACTCTACCACTTGAGCCACAGCACCACTTCCAGCTTTTTTTTTCCTGCTTATGTGGTGCTGAGGAATCGAACCAGGACCTCATGCATGCCAGGCAAGTGCTCTACCACTAAGCCACCTTCTCAGCCCTTGTCTCTCTTTTCTATCCGTAGTATTCTTCCAAGCATTTTCTGTAGTGCTGGTTTTGTGCCCATCAATTCCTTTAGCAATTGTTTATCATGGAAGGTCTTTATTGCTCCAGTTGTGGGGGATACCACTGGAGACACTAATCTAGGTTGCCAATTAATTACTTCGTAGGGCTTTAGATTGGCTGAGTGTTAGCACTTCTTTAATTTCATTCTTTTATTTATTTTTTGTCAGTCGTGGGGCTTGAACTCTGGGCCTGGGTACTGTTCCTCAGCTCTTTAGCTCAAGGCTAGTGCTCTACCACTTGAACCACAGCACCACTTCTGGCTTTTTTTCTGCTTATGTGGTGTTGTGGAATCGAACCCATGGCCTCATGCATGCAAGGCAAACACTACCACTGAGCCACCTTCCCATCCCTATTTCATTCTTTTTTGTTTGTTTGTTTGTTTGTGGGGCCTGAACTCTGGGTCTGGGCACTGTCCCCCAGCTCTTCAGCTGTAGACCAACACTCTACCACCTGAGCCTCAGCCCCACTTCTGGCTTTTTCTGCTTATGTGGTGCTGAGGAATCGAACCCAGGGCCCCATGCATGCAAGGCAAGCACTGTAACACTGAACCATCTTCCCAGCCCCTATTTCATTCTTTCAAATGTTTTTCTTAGATTAGCTTGAGCAGTACAGTACTTGCCTAGCAAACTCAACACCTGAGTTTGGTCCTCAGTAGTACCCAGAAAACAAGCTGGGCACCAGTGACTCAGGCCTGTAATATTAGCTACTGATAGGAGGCTGAGAGCTGAGGATTGAGGATTGTGGTTCAAAGCCAGGCCAGGCAGGACAGTTCATGAAACTCATCTCCAATAAACTACCAAAAAAAGCTGGAAGTGGAACTGTGCTCAAGTGGTAGAATACTAGCCTTCAGGAAAGAAAAAGAACCAAAAAAATCAAAACGAAACAAAAAAATAAATCCAGAACAGAGCTCAAGCCCTGAGTTCAGGTCCTGGGACCAACACATTCCCCACCCCCACCCCCATCCTGCAAAAATAAATAAATAAATAAATAAAGCTGGGCATTGGTAGCTCTCACCTATAATCCTAGCTCCTCAGGAGACTGAGTCTGAGGATAAACAGCTCAAAGCCAGCCTGGGCAGAAAAGGCCATGAGACTCTTCTGTCCAATGAACTATTCAAAAAAAAAAAAAAAACCTGAAGTGGAGCTCTGGCTCAAGTAGTAGAACACTAGCCTTGAGCAATAAAGCTCAGTAATAAACCGGGCGCTGGTGGCTCACGCCTGTAATCCTAGCTACTCAGAAGGCTGAGATCTGAGGATCATAATTCAAAGCCAGCCCAGGCAGGAAAGTCCATGAGACTCTCATCTCCAATAAACCACTTAGAAAACCAGAAGTGAAATTGTGGTCAAGTGGTAGAGCGCTAGCCTTGAGCTGAAGAGCTGAGGAACAGTGCCCAGGCCCAGAGTTCAAGCCCCAGGACAGGCACCAAAAATAAGTAAATAAAATTTTCCTTTTTGAGACCTTCAGTTTGTTCTTCCAAATAAGTACTTTCTTTCTCAGTTATATCCATTATATTATTTCCCTACCTGAACTCTTTTTTTTTTTTTTTTGGTTCAGTCATGGGTCCTAAACTCGACTTGGGTGCTGTCCCTCAGCTTTTCAGCTCAAGGCTAGCACTCTACCACTTGAGCCACAGCTCCACTTCCAGCTTTTTTTTCTGCTTATGTGGTGCTGAGGAATTGAACCCAGGGCTTCATGCATATAAGGCAAGTACTCTACCACTGAGCCACCTTCCCAGCCCTCCCTGCTTGAACTCTTTATGTATATTTCATGGAATATTTTCTTCCCTTCTCTTCCCTCCCGTCCCCTCCCCTCCTCTCCCGGCCCTTGTTCCCTGTTCCGTGTGTGTGTGTGTGTGTGTGTGTGTGTGTGCGCGTGCGTGCGTGTGCGTGTGTGTGTGTGTGTGTGTGTTGCTATCTAGGCTTGAACCCAGGATTTTGTATTCTCAGTCTTTTTTTTTGTCGGTTGTGGGGCCTGAACTCTGGGCCGGGGCGCTATCCCTCAGCTCTTCAACTCAAGGCTAGTGCTCTACCACTTGAGCCATAGCACCACTTCTGGCCTTTTCTGCTCATGTGGTGCTGAGGAATCAAACCCAGGGCCTCATGCATGCAAGGCAAGCACTCTACCACCGAGCCACCTTCCCAGCCCTCTCAGTCTTCTTATGACTGAGTGCTATACCACTTTAGCCAAACCTCCAGCCTAATTTTTTTGCCCCTGGGTTTAAACTCAGGACCTGGGCACTATCCCTGAGTTTCTTTTTGCTCAAGGCCAGTGTTCTACCACTTGAGCCACAGCGCCACTTCCAGTTTTTTCTGTTTATGTGGCACTGAGGAATTGAACCTGGGGCTTCGTGCATGCTAGGCAAGTATTCTACCACTGAGCCACATTCACAGCCCAGCCTAGTTTTTTTTTTTTTGCTATTTAATTGGATATGGAGTCTCTTAAACTTTTCCTCTCAGGCTAGCTTTGAACCATAGTCCTCATGTCTTATTAGCTCCCTGAGTAACTAGGACTACAAATATAACCACTAGTACCAAGCTTGAGTATTTCCCTTATGTAGTTCCTTTTTTTAGGTTAAGTATATGTCACTGAATCGTGGCGTATTTCTACTCCTGGTAGGGTGTTTTGTTGTTTGTTTTTATGCTGATCCTGGTGCTTGAACTCAGGGTCTGAGCTGAGTGCTATCCCTGAACTTTTTTACTCAAGGCTAATACTCTACCGCTTGAGCTAGAGTTCCACTTCTGACTCTTTGTGGTTAATTGGAGATAAGAAGAGTCTAAAGGACTTTTCCTGCCCAGGCTGGCTTCGAACCATAATCTTCAGATCTCAGCTTCCTGAATAGTTAGCATTACAGACATAAGCCACGTTACCTGGTTCCTGGTAGTTTTTGTACGTGTTGTCAGTGCCATTTTCTTTTTTTTTTTTTTGGGTCCGGTCACGGGGCCTGAACTCTGGGCCTGGGCGCTGTCCCTCAGCTCTTCAGCTCAAGGCTAGCGCTCTACCACTTGAGCCACAG